AATATTGTTTTAAGGGGGGGTATTCTGTTTATTGTAAATTGTGTTTTAGGCTTTAAACCACCCAGATTGGGTTACCATTGGGCAGTATATAAATAAATAAATTATTATTATTATTATTATTATTATTATTATTATTATTATTATTATTAACCGCAGAGCAAAAACTACAGATTAAGATAAACAAGGCAAGAAAGAAAGGCTTAGGGAAGAAGTCATATGTTAAATGTATGTTTTAATACAGAAAACATTCAGGGGTAGCTGCGTCGTCCATTTAGCAAATTCAACCAAAAAACCATCAGTGATACCTTTATTGGCCAACCAAAATGCACAATATACACAACAAGTATATTGTGCATTTTGGTTGGCCAATAAAAGTATCACTGATGGATTTTTGGTTGAGTCTGTATGTTTTGTTATATTTAGGTTTTGTTGACTATGTAAGTAAGTAAATGTTGTGTATATATTAGATGATGTGTTGTTGTGTGTATGTTAGATTATGTCTGTATATTTTGGATGTTGTTTTATTATACTGAGATAAGTGAATAAACAAAAGCATTTAAAAAGAGAGGGGAGGAGGAGGAACTGTAGGTGAACAAAGCACCCCTTCCCTTCCCTACCCCACTCCTTTGTATATCTTTCCCTTTCAGATCAGATCATTAAACAGAGAGTCTGTGAACATTTAGAAGGCAACACCATAATCACAAAAAATCAACATGGGTTTCTCAAAAACAAGTCATGCCAGTCTGTTGTTGTTGTTGTTGTTGTTATTAAATTTTATTTATAGAGTGCTGTAGATTTGCATGGTACTATACAATTTATTAGTAGCCAAAATACAGATAAAAGCCTGTCTCTGGCATAGTCTAAAAATAGATGAAAAAGTTAATAAAATATTAAATTCTAAGATCAAAACAAAAATCTTAAAACAATAATATCATAAAAGAGTAAACATCAGTTCAGTTTTGTTGATGACAGCATCTACATTTTGAGCTGAAAGGCTTCGCAAAACAAATCATCTTTAAATTGGACTTGTAAGTTGCCAGTGAAGTAGTAGTCTGAAGGTGGATAGGAAGGCAATTTCAGAAATTTGATCCTTTTGAAATGCATAGATATAGGATGGGGGGGACGGACATCTGGCTTAATCAAGAGTATGCATGAAAGGGATCTAGGAGTGCCAGTAGACCACAAGTTGAACATGTATCAACAGTGTGATGTTGCAGCTAAAAAGGCCAATGCGATTCTAGGCTGCATCAATAGAAGTATAGATCGAGGGAAGTAACAGTGCCACTTTCTTCTGCTTTGCTCAGGCCTCCCCTGGAATACTGTGTCCAGTTTTGGGCACCACAATTCAAAAAGGATGCTGAGAAACTGGAGCGTGTCCAGAGGAGGGAGACTAAAATGGTGAACCGTAAAGCCCTTTGAGGAGAGGCTTAGGGAACTGGGTATGTTTAGCCTGGAGAAGAGACAATTAAGTGATATGATAGCCCTGATTAAGTATTTGAAGGGGTGTCATGTTGAGGATGGAACAAGCTTATTTTCTGATGTTCCAGAGAATAGGACACGGAGCAATAGATTGAAGCTGCAGGAAAAGAGATTTCACCTCAACATTAGGAGGAACTTCCTCATAGTAAGAGATACAGCCTTGGAGAATGGTCAAGTCTCCTTCTTTGGAGGTTTTTAAACAGTCTGGATGGCCATCTGTCAAGGATCCTGTGATGGTGAGTTCCTGCATGGCCGGGGGGGGGGTTGGACTGGATGGCCCTTGAGGTCTCTTCCACTTCTATGATCACACATGCTGCAACCTCCCAAGCCACACCTTGCTATTCTTTCTGCCCAAAGCAAAAAAACATTAGGAAGCTGTGGTATGTGCTAGAAAAACATTCCCCTGCCTTCAAAGGCAAGCCATTTCCCTGTGCTCTGAGTTTCTTAATGTGTATCCAGTAGTTATACCTGTTTGATGTTGGGGTAGCAGTTAGTTGGTCCTCATATAATTAGAAAGATGCTGCATGAGAGTAGCCTTCCTCCTAGATATATTTATACTTGATGTAGACATTTTCGGATCCTTCCACCTCATTGTGGCAAGGTACGATTCCACACCAATGAGTCCCGGTTTATTGGTTGTTTGTTTACAGTTGTGGTAGTGTGCCTTCAAGTCATTTTCAACTTAAGGTGACCCTAAGGCAAACCTATCACAGGTTTTTCTTGGCAAAATTTGTTCAGAGAACTTATGGTGACTCTAAGGCACAGCTTTCTTGGCAAGTTTCTTTAAAGATTTGTTTCTTCAAGTTTTGTTCAAATGTGGTTTACCATTGCCTTCCCCCTGAGACTGAGAGGGCATGACTTACCCAAAGTCACCCAGTGGGTTTTCGCGGCTGAGCTGCAGTTCGAACTCTGGTCTTTAGAGTTATAGTCTAGCGCTCCAACCACTAGGCCACGCTAGCTCTTTGTTTGTCTACTAGTGCCATTACTAAGCCATTAATGTTTACTAGTGAGTGCCATTGTTATTTAGTACTTGGAGGAACTGCTGCCTAGGACAGTGGTTCTTAAGCATTTATTTACCAGAGACCCCTTTTAAATACATTTGATTGCCATGAACTCCCCCCCCCCCCCAGGACTTAACTCAAAATTGAAAAGATGTAAAAGCCTAATAATAATAATACCCGAACACTGAACCATTAATAGTTACACCACACATTAAACCTTCCTTCAGTGGGAGAGGGAAGGCTTTTCTCTTGCTTCCCACTCCAGTTTGAGACTGGAGCAGATTGTATGGCAAAGCCAGTCAGCCTTTGCCTTGATTCCTGTCACATGGCCACTGAGGGGGAAGGAGGCAGGTTGAGCAGCTGAGCTATCGCAGAGCAACCATGTGACAGGAGCCAAGGCAAAGGCTGGCTGACTGGGCTTGTGTGTTGCTGTTCAATCTGCCCTGAGGCTTGAGCAGGTTGAATCAGGATCATGAAGCACTGTAGAAAAAGGGACTTGCACACATGGAGGTCAATAACTGCTCCACAGAGGCAGTGACCACAAAGCACTGCCTGAAAAGGGCCTTGTGCACATGGAAGTCCCCTTGCAACTCTTTCCAGGTCTTCAGCTTCTGTGATTCTAGGATTCTGTCATACTCCTCAGAATGTTTTGATGGGATCTGAATTGAGCTAGGAAGTAGAAAAGAGGCTGAGTGGGGAGAGTGTAAGGTCCAGTGGAGGTGACTTCCAAGTGAGGCAGAGGCATTGTGCTGCAAGCCAAGAATGGGAGGTATGGAACTATTGGCAAGAAAGGAGAAGGAGGGTGAGGGGGATGCAGGGCAGGCAGGCAGTGGTGGTGAGCTGTGTTGTGTGAACGTGCACCAGTTAACTCTGGAAAGGTTAGTAATAGTTGACATCAGTGCTGAGGAGGGGTGACAGACTCTGGTTGCTTAGTAGTCCGCTC